ATACAGTACTGCCCTGAGACTGCTCCCTGCTGCCCCCTGCTGACACAAGTATGGTTGTCAGGATAGTATCAAGCACTGTTGTACCTGGACTTGATGGATTGTAACTTGAGAGGACAAAATAACTAACTTAGGAGAGCTCTACCAAGAAGTAATGTGAAAGAATAAATAATAATAGGCTTCCTCTTCAAAAGTATGGTTTACTGCTTTGTTGCACTTCATCTCCAATGTGCTGTGAAATTTCCAAATCAGAGAATCAGAGATATCAGACCTGGAAAAAACCTGAGCACACCCCTCAGCCAGCCCTTTCTCTCATTTTATAGATGAGGAAAATGAGATCCAGAGAGGTGTGATGGCTCGCCTAGGCCATACAGCTATGTAGAGGTAGGCAAAGGTAGACATGAGCTGAGAGATGATCTGGTGGTTCCCAAAACCTGGTGGACAGATTCTTTGATTCTTCTGCAGACACATTTAACCAGAACCTCTGCAGGTGGGATATATGAATCTACTCAGATTATTCTTATGCAGCTGGTCTCACCTTAGTCAGAAACTGGTATTAGTGTATTCCATGGGCCAAGTCAGCTCTGTCATCTATTTTTATGTGACCCATAAGTTCAGTATGGTTTTCATATTCTTCAACAGTTGGACATGTGAAAATTGTATGAAATTTCTGTGTTCATGAAGTTCTGTTGGAACATAGCCACTCTTGTTTTTTACACATTGTCTGTGACTACTTGTGTACCACAGTGGCAGAGTTGAGTTTTTACCACAAAAACTATGTGGCCTACAAAGCCTACAACATTTGCTACCTGTGCATTGACAGTTAAAGCTGGCCAACATTGGGTGTGTTCTCTCCGTCACATAAGCATTGCCAATACCAGTATTAACGGGGAAATTCCTAAGCTATGAGGACTTGCATTATTCCAAATGTTATCTTGCTTTATGCAAAACTCCATTTTAATTATCTGTAAACCTGATTATCTTAATAATATTTTATTGTAATGCAACTTGCTACTTTACGTGTGGAGGATTTGCTTTCATTTCAGGAGGTTTAATGTGGACTATGTGCTTGTTTCTTTTTTTTTTTTTTTAATTCATTTTTCAGTTTTCGGTGGACACAACATCTTTATTTTATTTTTATGTGGTGCTGAGGATCGAACCCAGCGCCCCCGCGCATACCAGGCAAGCGCGTTACCACTTGAGCCACATCCCCAGCCCTGCTTGTTTCTTTTTGACTAGAGAAAATATCTGGTTTTCTAAATACATGATGAAGATATAGAATATAAATATTTAGAAAGGAGAAATGATAAGTGATTTTTGTTCTATGTGTAGCATTCAGTACCAAATTACGGAAATTTATTCTTCATAAAATGTAAAATGTCCCTAATAATGCTTTTCTACTTACAAAACCATAGTTATTTAATTCACTAAAGTTACCTAGTTTCTCTCAGTCTCCCACTTGTCAATTCATTGTTGTATTAATTCAGAATCCTAGCTGCCTCCTAGTTTATCTTCATCCAGAAAATAACAGTTTTAATTTCCTGATGTCGTCTTTTTCTTTTTCCTCTTCCACTTTTCCATTATCTCGGACAACATGAGCATTTGTTTATTAACCAATAAACAAACATTGATTGAGTGCTTGCTGTATTCCAGGCACTGCAGGCACTGATTTTGTGATAGGAAATACCCCCCATGGTACTGTTAGATCTGTGTTTCCATTGTGACAAAATTAAGAGACAAGAGGTAGTAGATACAGAACATGACACTTTTTAAAATGCTATTATTTATTTTCTACAGCAGTAGGCAATTTAATGAAGGCCTGGCCTGGTGGTTTGTAGGGGCATGGGACAGTGGTTCTTCCATTGTTGCTTTGCTACTTTATGTAGTATATCCCAGGGACTCAAATTTCCCATTCACAGAGAATCCATCCCCCATACCAGCTTCATTCTCTGCCATATAGCCATGAAATTGCCTCCCAGTCTGGCACAGTAGAAGCTGAAAGAGGCTCTGAGCTCCACATAATATACTGCTCTTTGCTACCTGAGCTTTATAGGTGGTTTCCCCTCCTGGGCTTTTGTAAGATGCAGAGTGCTAATAATCTCTCCTTCACCCATACTTCACAGAAATATTATGAGGTTGAATAAGGAGGTTATTTGAAAGACTGGCATTTTTACAGAGAAGGTTGCTATAGAAACACAGAGGGCTACAAGTACTTCAGAGAGGGGGTTTGAGGAAAGTCCTGCCCTATTTGTTTCTTTTGGAAAAAAAAAAAAAATGGAAGTCAGAGCTGTACCTTTGATCTGTTTCATGGTAACTTTAGATCTACTATTTCTTTTTGCTTTTAGGATCAGACTATCCTTCCAGAACCAGGACACTAGTACAGGAAGTGCATTATTACACTGCAATATTGAACATGGGATGATTCAGTGGATGTTTCCAGAATATATATAGCTTTCCTATTGCGAAGATATTAGTGTGATTGGCAGACTAAGAAAGGTACAAATAGAAGAGAAAAGGAACTTAAAGAAAAATCTACCAACAGTTTATTTGGAACACATGAACTAAACATTATATTGGAACTGTGGGAGGAAGTGTTAAGATTGATTCCTGCCTTCAAAGAACTTAAAGCCTAGTTGTAAGGATGCGGGTAAAAAAAAGTATGTTAGTTGTGATTTGTTTCATAAATAGTCTTAATCAGGTTAAGGAAGCTTTTATTTCTAGTTTTTTGAGTGTTTTTATCATGAAAGGATGTTGGATTTTGCTAAATGTTTTTCTGCACTTATGTGATAGTTACGTGGTTTTTCTTTATTTTTAAAATTTATTTCATTGGTTGGTTTTCATATGCTAAACCATGTTTCATTTCTTGGATAAATTCCCCTTGGTCATGGTGCATAATCCCTTTTAAATGCTGGATTTGGTTGCTGGTATTTTTGTTGAGTCTTTTTTGTGTCCATATTCATGAAGGATATCAGTCTAGAGTTTTTTTTGTGATGTGAATATCTGATTTGCCGAAATGTTTTCTTCTCTTCTGTTCTTTGGAAGAGTTTGTATTAATTCTTTAAACATTGGTAGAATTCATTAGTGAAACCATCTGGTCCTGGGCTTTTCTTTGTGTTCATTCATTTTTTTTTAATGTAAGGTAGAAACGATTAATTATTGTATAATCTCATTTGAGGGAGAGACTTTTTAAGGATATACCTTATCTGTATGTTTATATTTATACAGAAAATTTCTGAAAGTATATTACTCCCCACCCCCCAAAAAAAGGTAGCTGCAAAGTTATCCTTCGGTAAAAGGATGATATTAGTCATTCATCCCCCTCTCCTCCAGTACTGGGAATTAAGTCCAGGGGTGTTGTACCACTGAGCTACATCCCCATCCCTCTTTCTATTATGAGACAGGGCCTAAACTGATGTGGCTGGCCTCAAATTTGCAATCCTCCTGCCTCAGCCTCGTGAGTAGCTGGGATAACAGACCTATACCATCAGGCCCTGCCTTTTTATTTGGTTGTTTGCTTTTAATTGTAAGCATACATTGCTCTAAATTAAAACAACAAAAACTACTTAAAATGACTTGCCTTTGGCCATTGCCCTCTGTATTTACTTCTGATCTGATCTCCTTAGAGACTGCCAGTCTAATAGACCCTGTTTCTCCAGCATCACGAGCTACTGTTCCCCTTCCCAGTTTTATTCTCCATCAACACAAAACTACTTGTCCACTCCCTGAAAGCAGCCCACAGTTACTCTGTTGTGCTTCTTTGTACATGCTATGCTGTTCCCTTTCCTGGCCATCCCTTCTTCTTCTATCTGCCCAATTTTTCTTAATTCCTATTTGTCCTTAAAACTCCTTCCAAATATGATTTACCTCTCTTTGTAAACCCTTTCCTGTTCATAGTCCTTTTTATTCTCCACCCAAGGAGGGGTGGGGGTCTCCCTCCTGTAGCTTCTTATACAATATACATATTTTATTTTGAATTTTGTACTTACCCCGCATCATAATTACTAGTTCACATATATGTCTTCCCTAAAAGTACAATTCTGTTCAATTTTGTGTCCCTGGAACTTAGCACAATGCTTGGCACAGAATGGATGCTCAAAAATAATTGAATTAAAATGAATTTGCAAGACAAAGCATTCAGGGTAGGATGAGCAGTGTGAACGAAGGCCAGAATTCATGCGTCATCGTAACCTGTTCTGGGGACATGGACTAGTTTGGCTACATGGGAGGATTCATGCTGGGGATACAGTTGAACAATTTTGGCAAGGTCTAAATTGGAAGCTCTTAAAAGCCAGATAGAGCAGACGGGGTAGATAAATATTGATATAGTGACTGAATGAAGAGCTCTTCTTACTTTCTTCCAGTCTTTGCTCAACTCTCTTCCCAGTAGGCTTACCCTGACCACCTTCTTTAAAACAGTCACCTCTCCATCTATCCATCCTCTGCCTCGAATTCTTGTCTTTTCCCTGGTTTTCCTCTTTTTTCCATAGCACCAATCACCTTCTATTGATCACAGTCTAAATAATTTATTTATTCATTATGTTTTATTTATTGTCTGTCCTCCCCATTGGAAAATACTCTCTCCAGATCAGGACTGCATTGTTCACTGATAACTCCCAAGTACCAACAATATCGTCTGACACGTAGTAGTGTTCAGTCATCATTAGTTGAGTGAATGAATCCTAAATTAATGAACTTCAGTATCTTATCCAGATCTGGCATGGGGAGCTTAGGTATAGTTCAAAAGTCTTATTTCTGAAAGAGACAAATATATTTTGTAAAACTGCCAAGATTATGCCAGCTATTTGTAATAATCTGGGATAGGGCAGGAAAAGGGAGGTGAAGGGGAGAAGATAGTCTTAAGGTTTCTTGCCTTCAAAAGCAAATAGAAGTGTAAAAATTGTAAATACCTTTGAGTTTATTTATTCCATAACTAGAAAAATGTTGTTTTGTATGGTGATTAATTCTCATGCTTTAATCATTTCTCTCTTTTTCTTTCTCCACAGACCTTTGTAGTATTAAACAGAGGGAAAACTCTCTTCAGATTTAGTGCCACGCCTGCCTTGTACATTTTAAGTCCTTTTAACCTGATAAGAAGAATAGCTATTAAAATTTTGATACATTCATATCCTTTTTCTACAAATGTGGAGTGAATGCAGCAACTGCCTGATTGTGTATGTCCTGATGTTTGACAACTGAATTATATATTAAGGGTTTGGTTTTGTTTTGTCATTTTTTATTATGTTTTTGCCAATAGTAGAGTTGGCTGTCCCACCAGTCAGAGGTTTAAGTGTGTGGTCCTGACAAACCGCAAGCTGAATATTAGCAAATTCTTTTTTTTTCTTGGGATGATATCACTGGAGTCTGGAATTTTGGTGGTATCATGAGGGACAAATTAAGATGGTAACCTTTAATTGAAGTCTTGACTTTTTAATTTCATCCTACGGGAGACTATTTAGATTGTTAACATATTAAGATTCAATATGAGAATTTTTTGAAAGCTGACTCTGGAGTTACAAATAGTTGAATGAATGCTTTAGAGATATTCCTTGAATATATTTTTTTTTCTTCAGCAGCTAGTTTAGAAAGTATCCATGATAATTCTCAGATGAAATAGCCTCCTCGTTACAGAGGTTTAGATGCAGATTGCAGGATAGATATGGATATTTTCTGGGATTCTTACTCTCCTTAAGTAAAAAAAAAAATGTTGGTTTATTCATGTGACTTGGCTTTTACATCCTATTATATAGAAAACCATATGACACTTGAAAAATTATGTGATGGGTTTAGCAACCCTACATAGTGACTTTAAACTTGCATGCTTGGTATTTAATTTAAGAGCACTTTAGTCATTTGTCAAAGAGTATTGTATCCTCCAAAGAGGATGAAGAAATCAGCAGATGAACTTAGCCAGTGAGTTTAGTAAGCCCCTGCCACATTGCAGGAATTTAGCAAACTGGTTCTGAAATCCGTGGTTTACAGGCAACATAGTTCACAAATCAGAAGATTTACGGGAAATAAATAATTTACAGTGGACTTCTTCCCTTTCTGTTAGGTCAGGGGTGGAGTGCTTTTTTCTCTTCTGGTTCCAAAAAGTATGTTATTATACTCTCTTCTGGTTCCAAAGGGTATGTTATTGTACTCTGAAATAAAATCCAGCTAGAAGAAGTAACTTTCTCTTTTTAAAACTCCACTTGGAGAATAAAGATGGGGAATGTCATTAAGAAGAGAGAATGGGTTAGCAGCAAATGAGTTAGAGCATGCTTGTTAAAGTGACAGTTTGAGTTTGAGAATCTCATGTTGACCTGAAACAGTTGAATTTTCTTCAATGAGAACAAAAAGAGGTAAGAAAGATGTGGATGAAACTGAAACGGCAACAAAATGGTTGCTATTCATAAACTTTCCTGGGCACTCTCAGAACAATTGATTAGATTTGCCCCAGGAGTATGGGAGTACAGATGTCCTTGAAATCTGAACCTAACCTGCCACAGTTGCATTTCCATGTTGGGCATATGCAGTGCACACTGGCTAGCACCTTGATCCCAAGACAGTTCAGCCCTCTGGAAGGACTGGGGGGCTGGACCATTAATTATATGTAGATTTTCAAATAATTACTTATGTAAGGTAATTAACAATAAGTGAATACTGAATAGTAAAGATTTATTTTTTCACCTGATGATTTTTAAGTATAGTAGACTGATAATTTCTATACACAAAGTTAAGGTAGTTAGAGGATTATTCTGTAGTTGAAGTGAAAGTGGTAAGAGGAGAAAATATTTTATCCAAAAGATGTAGAACAGTAACAACCCTGTGGAAATACACAGTGGCTTTCTTTGTTGGTGATGGTAGGCAATTTTCATTATCAACTTGCCTTTTTCTCTTCTGTGATTTGTCTCTGTTCTGTCTATTGATTGAGATCTTATGATATCCAATGCAAAATGTGTTTGTTTCCTGAGAAAAATTTCTTTTAAAAAGCCAGATTTTGTGTATTCCCCCTTGACTATTCTCTACAGTATTTAGCATGATCATTATGTGCACTATTTTGACCAACTGTGTATTCATGACTTTTAGTAACCCTCCAGACTGGTCGAAGAATGTGGAGTAAGTAGCCCATTTATTTGTCTCCTTGTTTGCTTTAAGGATTTTTAAGTCATTGAATCTTGTGTTTTGCCAGTTTATCCATCAAGGAAAAGAAGAATAGTTATTGACACTATTTCGTGGAGAAGGGTGAGGATACATGTGGAATTTAGGAAATAGTTCTAGAAGTCAACTCTTAAAAAGAGCAAAGTCTGCTCCCACCTCTGCCCTTCTTGTGCTAGCCAGTGTTTGCCCATGGCTCTGTCACTGTATTGTGTCTTTAATTCCTGATGGTACTCTTTTTCTCTTTTGACTCCTCCAAGGTTAAAAGTAGCTCTGAGGGACTCCTCACCTGCTCCAAAATGATGATGTACTAGATGGCAGTACATTATTATTTCCTTGAAATATCACTCAAGCTGGGCAAGGTGGCGCACGCCTGTAGTCCCAGCAGCTTGGGAGGCTGAGGCAGAAGGATGGAGAGTTCAAAACCAGTCTCAGCAAAAGTGAGGTGGGCTAAGCAACTCAGTAAGACCCTGTCTCTTAAAAAAAAAAATGGGGCTGGAGTTGTGGCTCAGTGGTCAAGTGCCCCTGAGTTTAATCCCTGGTACAAAAAAAAGAAAAGAAAAGAAAAAAAAGACATATCACCCCCAGCATTCCAGAGTTCTAGGTGTGGGCATTTCAGTGAGTTTCATTCAGAGTGCTCCTTTCTCCTCCTCATTCTGTCCTACCACTTTGGCGATGCCCTTTCTGCCCTTCTGCAAAGCCATACTTCAGGCAGGTTTGATCTTGAAAGGTTCATTTGAAGTTTGTGTATGTTCAGAAGTTGCCTTAAGTTCTCCATTTCTTTGACAGGTACACGTTCACAGGGATTTATACATTTGAATCACTAGTGAAAATCATTGCAAGAGGTTTCTGCATAGATGGCTTTACCTTTTTACGGGACCCATGGAACTGGTTAGATTTCAGTGTCATCATGATGGCGTAAGTTCTCTGATTACTTTATTGGTGTTGTGGGTGTGATCACGTGTGTGACAGAAGATTCTCCTGGATGTTTGCATGACAGTGTTTGCAAGTGAGAGCTTGTGGACTCAGTGGTAAGGGGAATCAATGGGTACACACGGGAACTTGTGCTTGTGGTTCTTGCTTGTGAGGACCTTTTGTTTTTCAGGCAACAGCAGCCACAGTGTGTTTATGTGGAGAAGGTGAGCAGAGTCTTTACAGCTGGGAGGGAAAGTAGGATATATTACCCATGGATACTCATATTTTATTTTTATATTTTATTCCTTCCTATGACATTGACCATGATTGGCACACCTATCACTAGGGGGCCTCTGTGAAGATTCAGAATCTTTTAGAGGTGAAAATGTGTTTTCTGGGCACGTCTTATCACATGGGATTTAATGAGGCTGTCCAGGTGTTGCAGACTTCAAAGCACACTTTAGAGTCAAATCATGAGCCCCGGTATCCAAATTGGCACTTCCTGAAGTTACTAACCAGAATTTTGAACTGTCACTGGAAACTGTAGAACTCCACATAGGTATGCTAGGTGCTCCTGGTAACTTGTGTTGCTTTAGCAATAAAATGTCTCTTGGGAAACTCACTTGATGATAGAAAAGTTATAGCAGGCTTTAGTATTTTTATTTTCAGGGTGTGAAAGTGCTTTGTGTTTTGGGGGTGTGATGGGGGGTGGTGCCTAGGTTTTATGTGTGTGCACAGATGTATGAGAAAGAGTGTGTTGCACATGTATGGGTCTGAGCATTGCATAGAAAGATGTATTTCCCCTGTAAAATGTGAGTGAGTGTTATGCATTGAATATTTGAAAGTGGAACTTGGACTTTCCGTTATATAATGAAATTTCTAGCTCTCCAGCATTATGAAATACACATTGGTGTTCATTTTAAATCTTAGTGTCTTTGTAGGCACAGAGCTGGTGATAGAATGGGCTCTCAACTCAGTATTTGTTCATGATCTGGATTTTCCTGAGCCCTGTTTTTATCTGTCACAGGAAACAATTTCAACTGTGCACATGACTGGAAACATACGCATACCACTCTTGCATAAGTCATATATGCAGCCATTTAGGCATTTTTGCTGTCATTAACTAGGGAGCTACATTAATGTAGATTTGTTTTTATGGGGCTCCTGCTGCAGAAGTTTGTTTCCCTTTCTTAAGAAATTGTTCACAAAACTTGGGGATATGAGTCTCTGCTACTTCCTGGCTTTCCTTTTTACTAAAAAATGTAATTGACCTGACAGTAAAATGATTCTGATCGGGATCCGCACATCACTGCTGATTAAGAGAGTGAATCCTAGAAACTTAGAGTGATTCTTTCAGTTACACTTTTGAATTCTCCTTGCCCGTTTTTTTTTTTTTTTTTTTTTTTTAAGACATGTTACTTAAATGTTTATATTTTGAAATTTTTCTTTTTCAGGGAAAAAATGAAATCATACCTTGTATATAAGACCCTTTCTTTCCCCCATTCTCAAACCCTCACCCAGTGGTACCATTACAAGTTAACTTTGGTTTGATTCTGCAGGTATATAACAGAGTTTGTAAACCTAGGCAATGTTTCAGCTCTGCGCACTTTCAGGGTACTGAGGGCTTTGAAAACTATTTCGGTAATTCCAGGTAAGATGGCCTGGGGTTGGTGTTAGGTGTTGGGTTAGGGCCCTGACGTGACGTATTGTACTTTTTGTTTTGTTGTGGTTTTGTTTTTTCCTTTGGTGTTTGTGTTTGTGTCTGTGTTTGTCATTTGTGTCTGTGTGTGACCTCCCTTACTACAGATATGTGACAGAGTTTGTGGACCTGGGCAATGTCTCAGCGCTGAGAACATTCAGGGTTCTCCGAGCTTTGAAAACTATCTCTGTAATTCCAGGTGAGAAAATGTGTGCACAGGACTGACCTTGCTGCATCTCTTTTTTCCCTTCATTCATTTTGTTCACCACATTCTAAATTGGTGTGAGCACGGTTGATATGCTCTGCATTCTGCATTCTGCATGCTTTTCCTGAGAGACATTCTCTGGAATGGCCTTTTGATCCCTAGGCAGGTTTTTTTTGACTGTGCTTGCAGGCATGCAGCCCCCATTTCATCCATGCTTTTGAAAAAGCATGTGCTTAAGAAACCCTTGGATCTTACAATATCTGAAAACAATCATCGTAGAGCTAGCTGTCTCTTTGTATATAAATCATTTGAATCCCAGCCTCATGGAATTACAGTAATTTTAACATGTGCCATCATTCCATTGCTTGTGATTTCTAGGCTTCCTATAGCATGGTTTGCTGATGGAATGTTATTCAAAGAATTATGTTTTTATTATTACTGTACTAATGGAATTATTTAATCGCAGATGAGACCTACACAGTTAACTAGTCCAGAATTGTAGAAAAACTTAAGAGCCTTAGAGTTAGTGAACTGAACTTTAATAATCACCATTTATCCTGTTCTACTGCTGTCTGTTTCACTAGAATGAGAACCAGTAGCATCTACTATACATATATTCAGGGATCATTCTCAAACCTAAATCCCAATAACAACTTATACAGGTGCTATTTTTAAAAAATTCAAAGGTAAGATAAGATACGACTAAAGATATGGGCAAATAAAAGTATAGAAACTTGAAGGGAAAAGAAATCTGGAGGGTGGTTTGAGAGGTAGTTGATTGACAATCTCTTTAAAATTTTTGCCTTTTTCTTTTTGGTCCTGGTTGAGTTAGCCCAGTGGTTCTTAACCTTTTGAAGATTTTGGATCCTTTTGAGAATCAGATGAAAGTTGACAGACCCCCCCCCCCCCGAAGCCCATCTGTGGACCCCAGATTAAGATCCCTTAATTTAACTTAAATCATTGCAACTGGCTAATACTTCTCTTCCTAAAGACTAGCCTTAAAATTGGAAGGAAAGGTACTTAGTTTAGTACTTTGTTAGTCTTGTGAGCCTAAGATAGACTAGCAGTAACTTGCCAAAGCTTAAGACAATGTGGTTGCTCTTTGGATTTTAGTTGTATTTAGGATTTTAAAAGAAGATTCCCCCAGAGACCAGGCTTTCCACAGTAGTTTTGTAGAAATAGGAGTACAGAGAACAGGGACAATCCATTCTGATCACGTGCCTCATCCCCTGTGGCTGCCTCAGAAATATTTCTCTTTTCCCTGTTTCAACATTATCAGATAGCAAGAGGGGGAAGAATCAAGGTAGAATCCTGGAGAGGGCAGACTTAGAATGTGATTTACCAGTAACCTCAAGGAACATTCCTTAGGCAGGCCTTATTTTATGAGGGAGGTGGAGTGCCACATCTTTACTTTCATTTTTCCTTTGGTCTCTCTCTTCCTCTGGCCCCTTTAAAATATGATCCTCTGTTTTCTGTTCATTTCCCCCAGCGTACTCTGCAAGGCATCTGTCTCTTTATGTTCTTGTGATCTCAAAACTTCTCTTCCAGAATTAAATTGGAAAGCTGCATTCTGTTCACAAACTGGGGCAGCAGATGCTATCTCTAGTCTAGCTCATTGCTTCTGTCTTTGTCTCTGCTCTATGGTTACCTTTTGACCAGGGCATTTCTGCAAGGTAACTCTTGATCATGTTACTTAATACTGTAGTAATACATATAAATACATAAACATACAGTTGACTATAATACAGTGCCTGGCCCATAGCAGTGCTCCATAAATGGTTGTAGTAGTAACAGTTATTATCATAAAGAAACCTAAGCCCAAAGAAAGGGTTTATGTCAAGATTTAGACATCAGCCTCACAGTTTGAAATAGATTCCCAGGTTCCTATTTCTAGAAGCATCCCCAGTTGAGCTGGCTTTGGGAAGCTAACTGGGATGGAGAATAACTTTAAGGATAGTAAAGCTAATAATAGATCACTGTCAGTAAAAGGTATATTGGGTTTTTGAATTAAAGCGTGACTTTTAGTTCCAATCCTTTTGCTCCCCATTCTACCTTTTAAAGTTAGTAAGAGAAATCCAGGAGTTGACGTCTCCCTTACGGAGAGGCTTTTCTCATCCCGTGTAAAATTCTGAACTTTTCTATCATTCTGTCTTCCTCAGAGTGCTGTTGTCCTTTCCCTACCTTCCAGTTACACAGGTCTTCTTCCAAGGCCAGGCACCAGTGTGAGTCAGTGGATCTGAGCCTATCTCATGTTTGAAAATCTAAGTCATTTTGATTCCAGTGTTGTAGAACTAGGACACTGTGCCCCTTAGTACAAACCAAAATTTGCCTGCCCAAATTTTCTTGTGGGCACTTCAATGGAACTGCTGCTTTTCTTGCCTTCTCCTGTTCCTAGTTAGATTAGGCTTTGCCAGATCTGCCAAAAACAGAATGGAAGTGAGAGTGACCATAGAGTTGACACAGAGTCTGCAGGATGTTCAAGTCTCAGCTCCCTTCATGAGAACTTTTCCTTTCCTAGAGCACTCACCCTATCTCACCTGGGCCAACACTGACCTTCCTCTGAGTTATCTAGTAGATTTTTTTGAATGTATCAGGGCTGCCAAGACTCCAGAATATTAGAGAGTAAGGTACATCAGTTAGGTTTGGTGTTTTGTATAAGAAATGCTTTACTTTAAGAGACTTTGTGCAGCTTAGAAAAGCCCAAACCCCACTTTCTGAGCCCTTTTATTTACCAGCTCAAGACATGGATAAAAATCTCTCATGGTTTCTTCTTCTTCTTCTTTTTTTTTTTTTTTTTTTCAGAGTTAACAGCTTAGAGAACAGGGTGAGCACACTGGATGCTTAAAGGGTCAATGATAGAGTAGACCCTTTCCAAATTTGCTTTGGCCTGGAATTTGCCAGGTTCAATTTGACGTCAAAATATTCTGCCTAAAAGTTTATGTCTTAAAACTTTGTTTTCAGTTTGTATTTATGAACTTATATTTTGTCAGAAGTTTTATCATCTGCATGCTTTGGTCATATGCCTCAGGACTAACATACCTTAAGATAGGGTAAGATTCCCAATGGAGGATTCTCAGGCTTCTCTTGGAGAGTAACACTTAATAACCTAAATAGAACCAGTTGGGAGAGCCACACTTGTCAGTTCCTTTTCATTTCAGTCATTTAAGTGGCTCCCCCAAAGCACTAGTTACCTGTTGCTCACCAGTGCTGATTTTATACCATCTCTCTCTCTTAGGGTTGCAGTTTCTTAATTACTTTTCTCTTGGATATTTTGCATCTCTGCTCTTGTTTCTGTTACTTTTACTTATATCCAGTGGTATCAGGTAGGAAGCAGGGGAAATGATGAGCCCTTCTTCTTCCCATCCCAGTATTCACAAAAAAAGTACTTTGTTTAAGTGTGTGTTCAGTAAATGTGGCAATTTCTGCTACATAATAAAGAGGAATAGAAAAAAGTGGTTCAAAACTATATTCAGACTCTTTCTTTTTCTCTTTTAGTACTGGGGATTGAACCCAAAGTACTTTAATGCTGAGCTTCATTCCTCATCCTTTTTATTTTTTTATTTTGAGACAGGGTCTGCTAAGTTGCTAAAGTTAGCCTTGAATTTGTGTTCTCTCTGTCTCAGCCTCCCAAGTAGCTGGGATTACAGGCATGTACCATAACACCTAGATCATTTTTTCTTTTAAAATATTCCAGTTATTCATCTTGATGGTTTCATATTTCTCCTTCCACATTGCTTCCTAGGAAAGATAACTAAAATTTAATAGTGTTCCTAAGTGGAAAAGCACTGAAGAGTCACAAGATCCCACTGACCCACCCTTGAGGGCCAGTTTAGCTTGGATTATACTTTGTGATGTGAATCTGGTCTTATAAGTAAATCTATAGACCCCAAATCGCTCCCAAATTACATACATACATATATATATATAAAAATATATATATGTTTTAGTTGTAGATGGACACAGTACCTTTATTCATCTATTTTTATGTTGATGTGAAAAACCTTCAAGAACTGTTGTTATGAAGATTGCATTTGCAACAGGAAAATTGATGAGGTTCTCTTTTATCCCTGGGACTTATCAGGGTCCCAGCCAGGCTCTGGAAACTGGGAAGCTGCTCTTTCACCTTCTCTGAGAACTGCTTGTGACTGCTACTGAGGCTTATTCCAGTATTAATTTTGTGAGGGAATTAACTCACATTGCTTCAAACCACTTAAATTTCTCAGCCTGAGTTACTGAGGAATGAGAATTGATGATTTTGTTATTTATAATCTGGTCATGACAACAAGGGAAGATTTTGATCCCAACATACATAGCTGATTTCTCTGGACATAGCACATAAGCTGGCTTTCTTTGTTTGTTCATGGGATTGTTGGGCATTATGGAAGGTCACAGGAAAATCCGAGGTGCCTTTGGACATAGAGTAGAGTAGAATCCTGTAACAGTGACCTGGCTTCACCTGTTTCCCAAAATTCCTGAAGTACCTGACTTCCTCTCTGATAGCTAAATTTTCTGTACATTGGATCCAGCTGTCCGTTTGTGGTCTGTAGTAAATGTATTAACTTCTGCTCAGACACATACCAATGCTAGTTAATGTTAGCCTCTTCCAAGAGTTCTTGCTGTCCAATTTGCCCCCACATGGCTTCTGTTGCACACTCTGTTGTGTAGGAGTCGTTGGAAGGAGCATTCTGCTGTTTTGGATAATCGGTTTTCAGTCAGTATCTTGCTTGTTCTAGCATGTGGTATTGTGAGCCAATAGAAAAAGCAAGACACAGCTTCTCTTCACAGCCACAACAGCAGCACTCTTCATTCTTGCTTGTGTGGGGTCAGGAATTCTACTAGCAACTTCTTGCTTTGCTGACCATGTTGATGGTGGCAGGAGTGTTTTTGCTTGGATATATTATTGTGTTGGGCAGGACTATAGAGCTTGAGCTTAAGAAATGTATGGATGGTGTCATCTTCATAAATTGACATGGATGTCTCTGCAGATGTGGTCACTCTAAATTATCAACCCTAATGGAAGAAAGAAGAGTCTTGGCTGAGACCAGTATATAATTCAGTGACTATTTACATTTGTTTGCTTCATCTGCGAGTATTGAGCCCATTATCTTTTTTCCCTGTGCTTCTAATTTTGTGCTGGACCTGGACAAGAATCGTGGAGAGTAAACTTTTTAGATGGTTAATGTTATGTAGTAATTTTTCTTGCTCAATTAAAATTCATTTCTCTGAGCCCCAGTGAAACACAAGCACCTGAATAGGATTTCTAACAAGTTTCCACTTTAAACTACTTGATAGCTACATGAACTGTCACCAAGAAGACAATCTAAGTTTCAGTCTTCAAAACACTTGGGGAAATTATTTTGTTGTTTTTTTGGTTCTTTTGTTTTTTTAGCTTTCTGAACTTATGTTTCTAGATCTCCTCAGTAATGACATCTGGTTTCTGGATAAAAAATGTTAAACCAGCAGTTTATGAACATTCTTGTCCATCTCTAGGAAATGATGAGTGTCATGCATGGTTGATGTATTCGCTGAGTATCTCTGCGCAAGTAAAAGCATATAGGAGTGCTTTAGAGAATCCCAAGACTGGAATGGTCTTGAACCTCAGGAAGACAGAGTAGAAACAAGAATGCAGAGCCCAGGGCTGGGGATGTGGCTCAAGCGGTAGCGCGCTCGCCTGGCATGCGTGAGGCCCGGGTTCGATCCTCAGCACCACATACAAAGATGTTGTGTCCGCCGAAAACTAAAAAAAAAATAAATATTAAAAAAAAATTCTCTCTCTCTCTCTCTCTCTTTCTCTCTCTCACTCTTACTTTCTCTTAAAAAAAAAGAATGCAGAGCCCAAAAGCCTGTTTCCAGGAAGTAATATCTATCTCTCTCTCTCTCTCTCATGTGTCTATTTCTTCTTTCCCTCTCTTTGTGCATTTGTGCACTAAATTCCTTTACTTCTCAGACACATCTCAGTATAATGACAGAGTATTTATATATACCATTCTCATATATTTATATATTACCATTATATGAAGACTGCTCAACTGTCTCTTGTCCTATTCCAGATCCCTGTAGGAAAGGATCTGGATTTAGATCAGATGTCTACCCTGTCATCTGTAACTACTCAGAGAAGGTACAAACAAGGTGCTGAGAGCCCATCCTTAGTGAACAGGGGATAGTTGCTGCTTATGGCCTGGAATTTCTTGTTTTGTAGGCCTAGAGCTTTCCAAAGAATTCTCAGGAAATTATATCAGACTCTTGCTAAAATTGTGTGCTTTTAAAAAAAAATTATGTGTTATAGCCAATGGATTGCTTTGGTTATTTCGTAGTTTTAAACTTATTTCTAATACAAATGTCAACTCACACATATTTTTCAGTTCAGTCAAAAAAGCAATAGATGGCTGGAGATGTACCTCTGGGGAAGAACCATTGCCTAACATGCTTGAGGCCCTGGGTTCAATCTTTAGTACTGCACCAAAACAAACAAACAAACAAAAAACTTAAAACAGCAATAAAAAAGACTAAAAGTGTTCAGATAAGTAATTTAACTGTTCAGGACAAGGCAGCTGCATGAGTTCCTTTTGAAGAAATCAAGAAACAAAATCTTAAAAAAATTGTTCAGTAACCCATCCAAATATCCCCTTTTAAATCACTTTTTGACTTTGTAAACAGAAGACCTACATGATTTTTAAAGACTTCCAGAGAAGATTCTTCAGCTTCTCCTTCACTGCCCGCTGCCATGTAGCACTGTTTTCTATAGAAGAGAAAATGAGGCTTGGAGAGGTGATCTTAAGTTGTTTTTGAAACATGGTGGGTCATAAATAATGACTGAGCCAGGACAGAATTCCTGCTTTCTGATTCCCCATCTGGTGCTTTTTCTGCTCAGCCACGTGAGGAGGAAAGGAATCGGATTAGGAGCCCAGGCAAGCCCTTCCTAATTTTTTGGTGGCCACAGTTTTCAAGGAAGATACTCTGTAAGAAAGCCTAGGCTTCTGCACCCATAGCAGCACTGTGGTCTAATTCTTAACGCTTCTCTCTTTAATTCCCCTTAGATCCCTTTCAAGATATTGTATAAGAAGAGAGAAATTTCTCATTTACTCTTTTAATAAAAATTCCTTAAGTACCTGCTTTGTGCCAGGTCCCAGGCTAGACACAGCATACATAGCTATGCAGAGAATTCTGTTGGGTTTAACTTTGAAAATTGTAGGTGGATATTACAGGATACAGCAAGAGATGACCCAAGTCCATGCCACCATCATATGATTGTGTCATTTCCAAGCATGTCCCTTTGAGGAAGGAAATGTCTGTATAGTAACGGTATCTAATGAGTGCTGCATGCCAGCTGTGTGCCAAGCACTGTACTAGATATTTATTATACTCATTATCTTATTTAAACCTTACAGCAACTCAATGGCATTAGTATTGTAAATCTCTTTATGTAGATGAGGTTCAGAAAATTATTACAGTAATAACATTTGAATTACTTACTGTGCATCAGGTGCTTTGTTAAATGTGTTATATGAAGTATGCTTAATCTTCACAGTAGACCTATGATATTCAGCTATAATTTAAAAATAAATAAATAAAGATTCACTTATTTATTTATTTTAATTTTTGGTGGTGCTAAGGATCAAACCCAGCCTTGTACATGATAGGTAAACACTACCACTGAACTATACCCCCAACCTTAATTATGTTCATTTTAAAGATGAAAAAAACAGGATCCAAGAGGTTAGGTGCTCGGGTCCCAGAAGTAAATGGCATACCTTTGATTAAAATTAGCAGTGATTTGCCCAACTGTATACTTCAAAGCCAAGGTTAGGATTACTTTAAATGACACTCTGATATTCTTGCCTTCAGAAGTAGATCAGAAACAAGATCCTTCCTGAGGCCTGGGTGTTAGGGCTCAGTATCTGGTTCCTGCTCATCTTGGTACAGTGGCCACCAGAAGTATCAGTGCTCTGTTGGCCATGTCCTGTGTTAGCACAATGTTGGGAATTCCAAGGAGAGCCACATGTAGACTCATTTGAATCCAAACAGCATGAATCTATAACCATGTTTTTCCATCTTCCATCACTGATCTTTCCCTGTGCAATTAAAAAATCTACCTTCTTTAGGTTTAAATTTGAACCAGTGGCTTGCACTGAAAAATTAAAATAGATTATAATAAAATTAAAATGAAATAGATTATAAATGGTTTTTATTTTTAATCTAAGCCAGAGAAAAAGGGGGGGCATTGTAGCAAGCAGGTTATAAATGTGATATAGACAAGGTATACTTTTAAATGTAAAGGCAAATTATAAATAAAGAATTAATAATTAACCTTTTAAATATGTTGGCATTTCCAGAACTGATGGGAAAATATTATTATACCTTGCTTCTTATTGGCTTTTAAATTTCCCAATTGTTTCCTTTCCAACCTGGAAGCCTCCTTAATTCCTGATTTTTCCATTTGTTTCTTCAACAAATATTTACTGTGGACCAGGCGCTATAGATTCGGCTGTGAATGATACAGACATAAGAAATGCATTATAGCCATGATAAACACCACAGAGGAAAGTGTAAGATAGTAACAGTGGTGGGGGAGGGAGAAGAGCTGGGAAGGCAGGATGGCTTCCGAGGGAAGTGATTTCTGTGCTGAGACCTGAAGGAAAGGAGATAGTCAGGTAAGACAAGGGCTGAAAGGAAGCAGTCAGCCTGAGAGAAGCACTGAGGACCTGGCTCATTTGGGGAACTAAAAAGTTGTCCAAGACAGGAAAGTACGTTCAGAAAAAAAGGAGCCACATGTTGGTAGAAGAAGCTTTCTTTAGCTTTTTAAGGATTATAACTTCTGGAAACCCCTCATTTTGCTGACATTGTTATTCTCGTGATATAAAGACACATTGGGCATATTTCAAGGATGCTGTGGGGAGGAGTAGAAGCTCAGGCTAAGGGGGAGGCTGGGAGGGAGGGGCTCTGAAGTGACTCTGGTTCTGGGTGCACTGTCTCTTCAGGCCTGAAGACAATTGTTGGCGCCCTCATTCAGTCTGTGAAGAAGCTGTCAGATGTGATGATCCTGACTGTGTTCTGCCTGAGTGTTTTCGCCCTGATCGGACTGCAGCTGTTCATGGGGAACCTGCGAAACAAGTGTGTCGTGTGGCCCATAAACTTCAATGAGAGCTATCTTGAAAATGGCACCAAAGGCTTTGATTGGGAAGAGTATATCAACAATAAAAGTAGGTGGCTTCTCCCCTACAAGGGGAAAAACCCATCTATGCAGTCAGAGCCACCACTGGGCTTAAAAAAATAGTTGGGCTCAGAAAGGAATGGCAGTGTTGCCAGAAGCAGCCTCAGGAGGTCATTTCCTTTCCCCAAGGCCAGATTGTGTTCAGAAACTCAAATGCCAGCACTCTCTCCCTTTTTCTCTTTTCTACCCCTTGAAACCAAATGAAACTTTAAAGCATCTTCACATGTACCCACAAACTTTTGCTCTAAAATTCAGGCTTAAAAACTTGGTCCAAATTCTTCCTTCCTTTGCAAGGTTGCCTGGGGTAGTTAAATATTTAGTCCAAGATATGCCTATGCATAGAACTCAGGCTTTTTTAATATTAATTGGTAAGACATTAGTAATTGACCTGGTCTAGGGAGTCAGGCAATCTCCAAGATACCATTTGAAGTCAGTTAAGTAACCATTAGAAAATGTTGCAAAGGAGATTTCAGGAATACCTGCCTTCTAGTTTAAAATAGGGCATGGTAACTAGTGACCAACTAGTGAGGAATTCTAGAATATCTTGATAAAAATAAGTCATAAGATGTTTTAGCCAGCTTTTTCACTGCTATGACTGAAAGACCTGCTGAACAATTTTAGAGGAGGAAAAATTTATTTGGGGGTTCACAGTTTCAGAGGTCTCAATCCATAGGGACTGAGAATGAGTGGCAGGCTTCATTCCCTGGGGCTCAAGGTGAGGCAGGACATCATGGTGGAAGAGTGTGGCAGAGGAAAGCTGCCCAGGATGTCACATCAGGAATCTGAGAGAGTCTAAGCTCAACTCACCAAATGTATACCCCAAAGGCACACCACCAATGACCCACCTCCTCCGGCCACACCCTACCAGCCTGCAGTTACCACTTAGTTAACCCCTGTCAGGAGATTAATTCCTGCTTGGGGTAAGCCTCTCATAAACCACCTTGCATTGTCTCATACATGAGCTTTTGGGGAACACCTAATATCTAAACCATAACAGTACAAGATTAAAATTGTCTAAAGGGATGAAGAACTCAGAAAATTACTTTAGACCCCTTTTATTCAGGTACCAAAACCTAATATATATGTGATGAGAAGAGTATTATATGAAGGGCTTCAGGGGAGCACTTTAAATTTGTAGATATCTATAGGAAAATCATTAATGGGAAGGACTTCTCATCAGCTTTCAACTGCTGGTGGAAAAGATTTATATGAGCTAAAAATCAATAGCTATTTCTGTTGGGGCTAGCCAGGAACAGTATAACCTTATTCTCTCATTCACTTCAATTTGCCTTTTCATTTCCTGCCTCTTCAAATTTTTCTAGCAAATTTTTACACGGTTCCTGGCATGCTGGAACCTTTACTCTGTGGGAACAGTTCAGATGCTGGGTAAGTAGCTCACCTAATTTTATTCTCCTTCCTTAAAATAATATGCCTATTTTTAGTTGGATGTAAACGGGCAATGTTTCCACTTTTCTTTGAACTCAAAAATAAACCCTAATCAGACCTTACCTATTAGTTAACTCAGTTTTCCTACTGTTTTATATTTGTCCATCCAAAGATGACATTTCATCAGAAGGTGAATGTACCTGTAGTCTCAAATTAAAAATTAACGACGTTAAAGGATAAAGAGAAAATCTATAACACCAGGTAGCTTACCACCTCTTATAGATTCCCCTTGTTCTATCTTAACACAGTTAATACAATGTAAAATAAGGACACCATCTTAGTGATAGTTTAGCATCCAAGGATGACCCAGAAATGGTCTAGACCTGACATGGGGGAAAGAACAGATAACAACATAGTATTTGAGTCCTGCTTCTCTTAGCTTTAAACCTTTGCCAAGCCACTTAACTTATCTGAGCCTTAATTTCAGTAAACATAAGATAGATTTAATAGGTCATGTTCTGTCTTCCTCATGAGTTTACTATAAGGAGCCAATTAGATAACATACATGAAAAATGCTTTGTAAACAGAGAGCTATTCAAATGTACAGTAGTAGTGTTATTATTCAGAGTATATTGGTCCCTTAGGAACTGGTGCTTTAATATGACCATGACAACAAGAAATCCATTTAATTTTTATATTGAAGTAGATATTAAAGATTTCACTGAAAACAAAACAGGTGAATCCAAAAACAGAAGAATAGTATAACTGAGGTTACCAAAAATCTCCATTATGACTTAGGTCAACACAGCAAGTGTTAAAAGAACATAGACAACTAAAAGGAACATATAGGCATTTGTCACTTGGGAGAATAGCTAAATTGAATTTTATTGAATTACAGATTGATATGAATCTGGGACAGTGGTTTTCATATTTTGTCATGAATAAGGATTACCTGGGAGCTGAGTGTAGTAGCCCATGCCTGTAATCCCAGCAGCTCGGGAGGCTGAGACAGGAGAATTATGAGTTCAAAGCTAGCTTCAGCAATTTAGTGAGGCCCTAAAGAACTAGTGAGACCCTATCTCTATATAAAATATTAAAAAAGGGCTGGGGATGTGGCTCAGTGATTGAGAGTCCCTGGGTGTTATCCCTGGTAAAAAAAAAAAAAAAAAAATTACCCGGGGCTAGGGATGTAACTTAATGATAACACTTGTCTGACATTTCCTGGTTCAATCACCAATATTGGGGGAAAGAAAAAAGTTCATATCTCAAAAGTGCAGGTTCCTAGATCCCATTTCCAAAGCTTTCAGCTCTTAGCTTTGGGGTAAGCATAGAAATCTGCATTTTTAAGGGACATACCATGTGATTCTGATATAGGCTCTGCTCCGAAATTGACTAGCTACTTATGTTCTCTCTCTCTTTTTTTTTTTTTTTTCTTCTTCCAGTTTGTTGGCTTGGCTTTGTAAATAGTTACTTCCTACCTATAAGGCCATGGAGTAAATAAAATTATGTTATTTAATATCTTTAAGATTATGGCTTGTGGAATTATGTTGAAAAGTCCTGAATTTCCCTTTCTTTCTTCAGGCAGTGCCCAGAAGGATACCAGTGTATGAAGGCAGGAAGGAACCCTAACTATGGTTATACAAGCTTTGACACTTTCAGCTGGGCCTTCTTGGCATTGTTTCGCCTTATGACCCAGGACTACTGGGAAAACTTGTATCAGTTGGTAAATAATACTTCTTTTTCTTTGGCAGTAGAGTCTACATGGGGCAGTGTGGGCTTGGGGGACATTCTGTGTGAGTGACCTTTAGTGAAGATGTTAAACAGGATCTGAGGATGGCATTGCCCACCGTCCATTGCTTTATAATATTTAGAACTGGGAATTCTCTCAGTTCTCATTCCTGTTTCTCAAATACTTAGTCATGTATAGTTGTAGAAGCTTGTAGCACTGTTAGCTTTTGCCTGGCTTGGGAATCTGCTGTCTATACTTAATTCCTATTGTTTTACTACTTGCAGTGTGGGTTTCAGGGCTTAGGACATCTGTTTAAGAAATACTAAATACCTGTTTGTGTAAGATGAAATTTTTATCCAAAAGGGCTTTGGAGTTTAAATATGTCAGCATTTTTGAGATTTATAATATACTTGGACTTGTTCAAACAGATTGTAATGGTAGAGATAAGGTCAGTCTCATTCCATCAGGCCATATTGATGACTAAACACATTGTTTAATTTTGCTAGTTGTAGGGTGGATTTATGCTAAGGGTCTTTCGGCTTAGAAATTCCACAACAGTCCATTGGGTTTTTTTTGACTCTGGCATTTGGTGATGCCAGTTTGTTTAAGAATAAAAAACGTTCCCTCCTCATGCATGAAGGATCCTCTTTCAGGGAAGCATCTAGTTCAAATCCCCAAATCAGTTCTTATTTTTCTGTTGGACAGTTCCCTCAGGTTTGACTCTTTCTCATGAAACATTTATGATTGACAATAAGTTCCTTTAAGTTTTGGGGATTGAAAGGATGAAAATGAAAACTCAGGAATAGTGGGTTTCATTTACATAACCTAAAACCCAATTGTTCTTTGATGTTCATTTGCTCACTGTTAGTGAAAGGAATAGGTCTAGGATCAATCCTCTTCCCTTTTTCTCTTTACCTCTCCAGTCCTTCATGTCATATTATTTTAGAACTAACTGATGAAGTAAAATATAATTCTTAATTCAGGATGTGTTTTCCTTAAACAAATGAATAAAGCATTGTTATATGAAAGGAGTTTATAGGAAGTATTTGGGAATGGAGAAAGATCCCTCATACACAAAATGGATAGGAGGAACTACTGCCACTTAGTGTGAGTTAAGCATAAGGAAATCCATTTGGCCACTGAGGATGTGTTTCTCTTCAGTAAGAAGGAGTACCACACAAGAAAGGACCGTCCTATTCAAATTGCAGATGGTGCCCCTACGGAGAAACTAGGCTCACAAGGTGTTTTCAGCCTACTTCATTTGATGCAAGTGACTCAAAAAAATGGTTTTATCTTTGCAGACCTTAAGAGCAGCTGGAAAAACATACATGATCTTCTTTGTCTTGGTCATCTTTGTGGGCTCATTCTATCTGGTGAACTTGATCTTGGCTGTGGTGGCCATGGCTTATGAAGAGCAGAATCAGGCAACATTGGAGGAGGCAGAACAAAAAGAGGCTGAGTTCAAAGCAATGTTGGAGCAACTTAAGAAGCAACAGGAAGAGGCACAGGTGGGTGATTAATTTTTTGAAGCAGACCTTCCTGCCAAATCATAGAGATTAAGGCTCCATCTGATTGCCACTGCAATTGATCTTTCCTAAGTACATTATCAAATAGAAGTCATTGATCTAATTAAAATAACCCAAGTAACAACTGCAGATGGTTAATCCAATTATTCTTTTTTGTCTTAATGGCCAAATCGTTTGTTAATATGTTAATATGATCTTTTTCTTTTTTTTTTTTTTTTTTTTTTTTGAGACAGGGTCTCACTCTGTTACCCAGGCTGACTTGAATTCCTGGGGTCAAGCAGTCCTCCTGCCTCAACTTCCCAAGTACCTGGGACTACAGCATGCATCACCATGCCTGGCTATTAGTATGTGTTAATATGATCTTTTGAAGATCTCATCTCTTCAGTGTTCAACTCGTTTGTTGACTGGGAAAAAAAAAAAAAGTAACCAGAGCAGTTCAAATAGTTCTTCATATAAGCATAGCCTCTTTTTTTTTTTTAATGTTTGGGATTCACCCCAGAGTCCTCCATATACTAAATATGATCTCTACCACAAAGCTGCACCCTCAGATCCCCTTCAGAGATACTCTATGGTCATAGAGTATTGTTTCCAATTTAAAAGGAGAAACAGGGGCTGGGGATATAGCTCAGTTGGTAAAGTGCTTGCCTTTCATGGACCAGACCCTGGGTTCAATCCCCAGCACCACACCAAAAAAAAAAAAAAGGAGAAATAGGCCAAATATTAAAAGTAAAACTTGAAAGTGACCTGTTACCCTAATAATTTATATACACACATGCTAGGTACAGTGGCACACTCCAGCAATCCCAGTGACTCAGGAGGCTGAGAAAGGAGGATCACTAGTTCAAAGCCGGCCTCAGCAACAGTGAGGCACTAATCAACTCAGTGAGACCCTATCTCTAAATAAAATACAAAATCGGGTTGGGGATAGGAGTGGGGATTTGGCTCAGTAGTTGAATACCCCTGAGTTCAGGCCCTGGTACCCCTGCTCTACCAAAAAAAGAATAAAACCCAAAGTTGTCACCATTGGGTTCTGATCCGATCACTTAAGGCTGTGTGCTAGATGACAGATTTGCCTAGATAACAGAGCCAGCTAGACCTAGCCATGGCCTCCTCTCTTCTCTGGCTATGGAATGGAAATTTGCTCCACACACTGGCTGGCTCAGGTGACCCTAAGTAATGCTTCTGAACCTATCTGTTACTGTGTCCCCTTTCTAGGCTGCCGCAATGGCCACTTCTGCAGGCACTGTTTCAGAAGATGCCATTGAGGAAGAAGGTGAAGATGGGGTTGGCTCTCCTCGGAGTTCATCCGAAATTTCTAAACTCAGTTCAAAGAGCGCCAAGGAAAGACGTAATAGGAGAAAGAAGAGGAAGCAAAAGGAACTCTCTGAGGGAGAAGAGAAAGGGGATCCTGAGAAGGTATTTAAGTCAGAGTCAGAAGATGGTATGAGGAAGAAGGGCTTTCGACTGCCAGACAACAGAATCGGGAGGAAATTCTCCATTATGAACCAGGTAAACTCTTTGTACTAGATCAGATAAGCCTAGAAATTCTGTTTTTTTGCTAATCCTGCTTGATTTTATTTCCTCTCTGGCTTCCTGACTTTCAAACCAATCCCTGCATCTTCAGTCCCCCCTCCTCCTATGCTCCACATTGCCCTCCCCTAGGAGGAAGCATTACCAGCATTGGGGATGGCTGTTCTCTAGTCCTGCCCTGCCTTCCCTGATGTAAGCATCACCTCTGGTGGCCTTGCTTCACAGTAAAATGAATGTCCCACCAGCAAGCGTCAAGTTCTAAAAATATTAGGAGGAACTTTTCTTAGCAGTTGAGCTTCAGACATCTTTATTTAAGAATTGCATATAATTGTAGGTAATAATAATAAAAATAGTGGTGAAACTCTTTAGCATACCTTATTTCGGCTTGACAAGTTATAGTAATGAACTATCCTAGATATTCTAGACATATAGTGTTGTGCTGATAAGTTAGCCTGCCGAAGTCTGGCTGGGCACAAAATAACCGAGCCACCACACCGCCTTGTAGATTCAAACAATAACTCTTTATTCCCGACTCTCACTGGCTCTACACGCACGTTCTGGGAAAATTCACCCTCCACCGGGCTCTGCATACCAAATACTCTCAGAACCCCGTGAGAACTCCACGGGAACTCCAGGAGCGGGCACCGAGGCAGCAGGATACACCCTATTCCCAGCAGGATCCACCCTAAACCCGGATCCACCCTAATCCCTGAGCAGGGTCACCTTTCAACCAAAACTCTCAAACATTCATGCAATGTCACTGCAAATGACCTGGGTCCAAGGCAAGCCCATTTCCACAATGGAGAGTCCTCCCTCTAAGCAACATTGGGTAGGCTGACAAGGAAATTGCCATGCGTCATTCCTACTTGGCTATGGCTCTCAGCATTAGCCAATAGTATATCAAAAGCCTCCCATTTTACACAACTTGGATTAATGAGGAAACTAAAAGAAAGAAAGGAAAGAGGATATATAATTGTTGATCATCCTACTACTATAAATATCATCATATGATAAATACCTTTGGGTTTTAAACATCACCACTTAGGGCATTAAGAATTAAAATTTCCCCATCTTAAAGAAATGCTAGAAAGTTTAAAGGTACAGAATAGATAACATTTACTGCACATTGCAATGTCTCCAGTGTCTCTCCCTGCCCCCTCCAGAGATGGTTCATTTAGCCACTTCTTGGTGTCTCTCACTTTCCATTCAGTCTTTGGCCAGTCCTGTTCATTTTAACACAGCAAATCTCCCACCATCCCCTTCTTTCTATTCCTATTAATCTGTTTTGTTTTTTTTTTAATATGTGTGTGTATGTGTGTGTGTGTTGCTGGGGATTGAACCCAGGGCCTGTGCATGCAAGGCAAGCATTCACTGAGCTATATCCCCAGCCCCCGCTATTAATCTTATCTTAGTTCAGATTTTGGTTTTCCCTTTAGTCTTTCTCCCTCTCCTTATGGTATGTGCTATCAGCAGACCATTTCCTAAAATGTAGCTGTCGTTATTCAAGAAGCAAGCACTTATGGAGTTTCTACCACATATCAAGGATCCCAGAGACTAAGAGATGGTTTAAACATCATCTCTACCCTAAGGAGTTTACAGGACAGTGGGACAACCTGATACACTAAAGAATTATTTATGTAATAGTTGGACAGTATCATTCCATAATTGAGATATACTGGGGGTAATTTGAAGAAAACAGGTCTGTCCCAACCTGAAAGTTCAGCTAAGATTTTCTAGGAAGATGAATTTCTGAATGAGGCTTACAGGATAAACAGGAATTGTTCAGGTGATGTATGTGTTTAGAAGTACATGTATGCTGATGAGGGAGAAACAGTAGACAAAATAAAGGATGTTCCAGGTTTGGAAAGAAAGTGTATTTTAATTTGTATACCCTAAGTTTGGATTATTTGTTGGATAACAAAGTAGAATGGTCTTTTAGACACATGTATAGTCAAATGATGGCTCAGGGAAGAGGTCCTGAGCGAGAAGTGGTGATTGGAACCATGAAACTTGATGAGATCTCACTAACTGAATGTGTCAGGTAGACCAAAAACATGACCATTGGTGTTAATGGGAGTAGGAGATGGAGCTCATGAAAGAAAACAGATGATGACTGCTTAGAGGTGCCAAGAGAGCCAGGAGTTAATGAAACTAAAAGCAGAAGAGTTGGAGAGGGCAGGGAAGTGATCCAGGGGGTTGAAATTTAACAAAGATGCAGAGTGAGATTAGAATGTGAAGAGTCCAATGGATTTGATAATGTAAAAATCACTGAGGACTTTTAAAAACATATTTCAGTCAGAATGAGTGCCAGTCTGAATGGGAAGACAATGAGCATAGACTTCTTCTTTTTTTTTTTAAAGAGAGAGAATTTTAATATTTATTTTTTAGTTATCGGCGGACACAACATCTTTGTTTGTATGTGGTGCTGAGGATCGAACCCGGGCCGCACGCATGCCAGGCAAGCGCACTACCGCTTGAGCCACATCCCCAGCTTGAGCCACATCCCCAGCCCGAGCGTAGACTTCTTATGCAAACTTCTTTGAAGGATTTAGATGAAAATAGCACTTTTATCATCTGTGAGGGAAAAAAACAGAAGATGGAAAGGTAGGATTAGAAAATGGAGTAGAATAGAATAGAAATGAAGTACAATCTTGAAAGATGGGCAAATAGATATGGTCTTTAACAGAAAAAGGGCATCTCATCCTCTGAAACCTCAGGAAAATAGAGAATGTTGAGGTACATAAGTTTGTGGACAGTGTATAAGAAGTTGAAAAAAATGATCCCTCTAATTTTTCCATAATGAAGACAATTTAAAATGTATTGAAGGAAACGAGGAGTTGTGGGCTAAAAAAAATATCAACAGTTCCAAATAGTTATTAAGAAGAGTGGGAGAGGGTATTCCCTTAATCAGATTTATTCTATTTGCTAATAAAGTTCCAACTCTTTAGCATGGAGTTCAGAGCATTCCTCTCCCTTTATTAGGGACACAGTTTATCTTTTAAGGTTCCAGTCAGTGTGCCCCATCAAGCTTCTAGTATTTAACCCAAAATGAACTACCCAGTACTCCTGATGCATAATGTTTGTTTTCTACCCTCTATGGTTTACTCTAAAAAGGCCCACTCTAAGATGTCCCATTTTTCCATCTCTGAATTCCACATCATAATTATCTTTTACCTCTTTTCTCAAGAAACCTTCCCTGACCTCCTCATTCCCTAAGGGAAATTTTCATTTCATCTTTTCATCATGTTTTATATGTCCCTCTCTGCTTGTTGATTTTTTTACTGTATGTGTACTCTGTATACATATTTATTTATGTTCATATCTTCTTTTCAAAGTCCTGCAGTCAAGCTCTTCTTCTTTACACATAGCTAGCATTCAAATATTGTTTGACAAATGATTGTAGGACTTTAAAAATTTGGTTTAACCCCTTCTGGAACTTCTTTATGGCTGGGAGCCAACTGCCTCACCTTCACAGCACATTTCTCCTAGTTTGGCCTCTCTTAGGGAGCTTTGTTATAATCCTAGCCTTGTCTTAAGAGCCATCACTGAGCTAGTCAATGAATACCTTAGCACTGGTAGCACTTGACTATTGAATAGTCTCTGATTAATCTATAGGCTTTAGCACGGAGCTGCGGTGATTACTCCCTGGCTCAAAAAATAAAACTGGGATTCTGAGATACCCTGCTTTACATGAAAATGTTCACTTCTTCTAATCCCCCTCTTTGAAAGAAGGAATATATATAGATTCCTAGAGGCCATATGAGACTGCCAAGACTTGCTTAGATATCCCACAGGGTAGCAATATTCTTTTTCCAGGGGCTGGGGTTGTGGCTCAATTACAGAGTGCTTACCTAGCATGTGTGAGGCACTAGGTTCGATTCTCAGCACCACGTATCAATAAATAAAATAAAGGTTCATTGAGAACTAAAAGTTTTTTTTAAAAAAAGTAATATTCTTTTTCCCCATGACTCTACTGCAGTTTATCTGATTTTATTTGAAAGAATGAGGAAACTGAGGCCTAGAGATTTAGTTACTTATCCAATGTTGTATAGTTAGTAGGTTTTAGAGCCAAGATTTGAATCCAGGCCCATCTACTCCAGAATTTGTGCTTTTGACTACCTCTTCCCTCACCTATAACCACATATATGATCATCTATCTCTTACAAATGAATTTGGTGTTGGTTTCCCACAGCAGTTCAAATGTATGTCACTTTCCTTTACATCCTCATATTCTGAGATTGTCTACTGCCCATTCATCTCTTACCTATTTCTCTATATTTTTAAGATGCAGGACAGTTTCTAAGTATTAGGATGAGTTTATATTGCCAAATTAATTTATTCTGTTGGCAGTAGTTCTCAAATTTTTTGGTCTGAGGACTCCTTTATATTTCTATACCTATTTTTTTTTTTTTGGACCACCCTTTTATATCTCTAAAAACTGAGGACCATAGGAACTTTTTTTTAATGTACCTTTAATTTGTCTTATTAGAAATTATAACTAAGAAATTTTAAAAATATGTACTAATTTATTTAAAAATAGGGATTAAAAAGGCTGAATGTTCTCTCTGATATGCAGGTACTAATAAACAATAAAGGGTTAGGGTGGGAAGAATAGAAGTTCATTGGATTAGACAAAGGGGAATGAAGGGATGGGAGAGGGAATGGGAATAGGAAAGATAGTAGAGTGAATTGGACATAACTTTCCTATGTTCATATGTGAATAAACGACCAGTGTAATTCCATATCATGTACAACCACAGGAATGGGAAGTTACATTCCATGTATGTATAATATGTCAAAATACACTCTATTGTCGAATATAACTAAAAAGAACAAACAAAAAATTTAAAATATAGGGATTAAATCCATTAATAGTTAATTTAAATTATATATTTTTTTCTAAAAATGAACTGTTCCAAAACAATAAAAACAGAAATGGGAAAAGTGGTTTCATTTATATTTCTGCTGTTCTCTTTAAT